AAATCTTTTTTAATGAAAAAGCAGACACTACAAACTCTTCTAATAAAAAAGCACACACTACAAACTTTTGTAGTCTCAAAAAGCGGACACTACAAACTTTTCCAATGAAAAAGCGCAACACTACAACTTTTGTAGTCTCAAAAAGCGGACACTACAAACTTTGTAGTCAAGATAACCTTTTGACTCTAACCCTAACTATGTAGTCTAAGTCCACGCTTTTGTAGTCTAAGTTCGACTTTTGTAGTGTATTAGTAAACTTTGTAGTCTAATTTCGACTTTTGTAGTCTTTTATAGTGCATCAGTAAACTTGGTAGTCTATATCTGATTCTTATAAGTAGTACGGGATGCACCTTCCTTTTTTGGTCATTTTTCCCACGATACAATAATTGTAGCCCTTTGTTTTAGCTTTCTGAATATACTGAAATCACGTTATTTGGTTTTGTTTTCATAGAGAAAAACACCAAAAAAAAAAAAGCAACACTTTTGAAATTCCTTTACCTCATATCTCCACAACGGGAGCACTTCAGAACATAATTCAAACAGATTCGGGAAGCTACAGTGTAGGGCTACAACTTTCGTTTTTGACCATTTTTGGTAATTGGTCATGTGACCACCCTCCAGGGAAGCCCATTGCATGGACCCTGACATGTGGGATACATTTGAAAAATCACAATGAAATGCCCGGGGCTACATTTGAAAAATCACAATGAAATGCCCAGGGCTCCATTTGAAAAATCACAATGAAATGCCCAGGGCTACATTTGAAATTTTGCAATGAAATACCCAGGGATACATTTGAAAAATCACAATGAAATGCCAAGAGTATCTATTGAAAAATTGCAATGAAATACCCAGGAATACATTTGAAAAATTGCAATGAAATACCAAGGGATACATTTGAAAAATTGCAATGAAATGCCCAGGGTATCTATTGAAAAATTGCAATGAAATACCAAGGGATACATCTGAAAAATCGCAATGAAATACCCAGGGTATCTACCAAAAAATCCCAATGAAATGCGCCAGGTATCCATTGAAATTTTGCAATGAAATATCCAAGGATACATTTGAAAAATCGCAATGAAATACCCAGGGATACATTTGAAATTTTGCAATGAAATGCCCAGGGTATTTATTGAAAAATCGCAATGAAATGCACCAGGTATCCATTGAAATTTTGCAATGAAATATCCAGGGATACATTTGAAAAATCACAATGAAATACCCAGGGATACATTTGAAAAATTGCAATGAAATGCCCAGGGCTACATTTGAAATTTTGCAATGAAATACCCAGGGTATCTATTGAAAAATCTCAATGAAATGCCAAGAGTATCTATTGAAAAATCGCAATGAAATACCCAGGAATACATTTGAAAAATCCCCATGAAATACCAAGGGATACATTTGAAAAATTGCAATGAAATGCCCAGGGTATCTATTGAAAAATCGCAATGAAATACCAAGGGATACATTTGAAAAATCGCAATGAAATACCCAGGGTATCTACCGAAAAATCCCAATGAAATGCGCCAGGTATCCATTGAAATTTTGCAATGAAATATCCAGGGATACATTTGAAAAATCGCAATGAAATACCCAGGGATACATTTGAAAAATCACAATGAAATGCACCAGGTATCCATTGAAATTTTGCAATGAAATATCCAGGGATACATTTGAAAAATCACAATGAAATACCCAGGGATACATTTGAAAAATCGCAATGAAATGCACCAGGTATCCATTGAAATTTTGCAATGAAATATCCAGGGATACATTTGAAAAATCACAATGAAATGCCCAGGGTATCTATTGAAAAATCACAATGAAATATCCAGGGCTGCATTTGAAATTTTGCAGAAAATGCGCTGGGTATCTATGGAAAATTCACTATGAAATACCCAGGCCTACATTTGAAATGCCTTTCAAAAAATCCTAAGCATTATAGATATGGCCTCTAGGCTTAAGTCTAAGTTATAGAAATGACTCTCTAGGCTTAAGTCTAGGTTATAGATAAAAGTGGTAGCCACCAGTCCGAGATCCTTCAAGATTACGGTTGCGGCGAGGAGTATAGGAAGGCTAATGCGACAGCCAACGAGTACCAGAACCTTTTAACCCTTTTGGAGGATGTTCACGCATCTGCCGTAGTCCACACTGCTTCGCAATTTGAAGATGGGTATCATACAGGTGTATTTGCCTATCAGCAACGTTAATGTACACCTTTTGACCCACTCCCGAACGCGTGTGTGATTTGCGATGACAGCTGTACAGTTGTAGCCACAACAATAAGGTTTGGCAGGCATGGCACAGAAGCGACGCCCCTCTCTCACTATTCATGTATACCTCGATGCCGAAGGTCTCTCTCAAACGAAAAACCCCTCCTGTTGTTATTGAACACCCAGATTGTTTCCTGACGCTCGGTGAACGCCGCCGGAAAATGGAGACGGAAAGGAAGAGGCTGGTGAGATCTCGGAGATATGTTTCTGCCATGCGCGCTAGACCCTGACCTTGTGATCGGTCCCTAGATTGTCGAGCCAACGCCAAGGGCTCCATCTGCCAGCGACCTCAGGCGTGTCTTAAAAAAAAAACAAGATCGCGTCTTGCGCCTGCTACAGCCCAGCTTTGCCTCTGCCGTAAATGAGGGTCAGGCAGAGGAGTATCTTAAAAAAGCTTACCTCGTCTGGTTTCTTCGCTTTCCTGAGGTAGAGCTGGAGATCCAGGTCGAAGAGTCTTTCAAGGATGACCCTGGTTACGAAGCGCACATCATCAAGGCACGCGAAAAGGTTTGTCTTTCCTGCTGCTAATCATTTCCTATTCTATTGCTAAAATTTGTTCAGTTGATTAGGACAAAGTTGGGATGGTCGACTTTCCTCTTCCCTTCGCGTCCCGCCAAACAGGAATTGGAAGAGGGGGCAACTGTGCAGTGGGAGAAGGACTTAAATGCCGCCATCCAGGAAATTTTGGACGAGCTGCCGACCACTTGGAACCCCGACAAGGATATCACGTTCGTTAAACTGGAGCATGCCGTCGCGTTGTCAAGGGCTCGTGAGGAGGGGAGGTTAGAGGGCAGAAGAGCGGCCATGGACGATGACTATTAGTTGACTAGTATATTAGGGTAATCTATTATCTATTTGTACTTAGTCTTACATACCTATTCACTAAGTCAAGGGCAAAGTGCTCGCCCTTGACTTGTTGGAAAAAAAAAGCAAGGTTATCAAAAGGTTATGGGAATATCTTGCTTATGAAGCGAGCTCGCTTCCATAAGCAGAAATCACCAACCATGCCAAGACGACGCCGAGGTGGAAAGAGTGGTTATGTGGTGCTCCGTGACACAGATCCAGGCGAAGACGACATCGCCATTCCACAAGCACGCACCGTCACTCTTTCAGCAAACCACCACCGTATCCAGCAAACTCCATGCTCACCTCAGAAGTCATGCCGTTTCGCACAGCCAGCTCCCTGTTACCATTGGAACCCAAGTCCTCAGTACGACCTTCAAGAGTTGGACGATAGTTCTCAGCATGCCCACATCTCCGAGTTTACACCAGCACAAGCTTCAGATGTGGCTGCCAAGGTTGCTTCAAAGCGATATCCAACCGCGGTGAGTTATTGTCGTCATCTTTCATGCTATTGTCCTCAATCGTGCAGGATGCACCTCTTCAAGAGTGGTCTGGGAGGACCAAGGAAGATCCAGGCTTCCGGGAGGAGTTTTTATTGGAGATGTTGAGGTCAGAGGGCCATGGTGACTCAAGGGGGGGAACGTGTATGTCGTGCAGAGGCCCGTGTGGCGTGTTCCGATGCGATGATTGCTTGGGGGGTAGACTGGAATGTTCAGGATGTTGCTTAGCAAGGCACAAGGACCTTCTGCTTCACATTATATGGGTATGTCGGCTATCCTTCCATCCTTATAGAGTTGCTTTGACCGATTTAATTCAATAGAAGTGGAACAACGTGTATTTCCAAAAGATTTCGCTGAAAGCTATGGGCTTACGTGTGCAGTTGGGCCACGTCAACTCATCTTGTGTTTTGCCGGTTCCTGCGCATAAAGACTTCATTGTCTTGCACACGAATGGCCTTCATTATGTTGCTGTGGACTTCTGTGGTTGCAATGAGCGAATCCCCCATCGTCAACAGCTCTTGCGGTGCGAATGGTTTCCCGCAACGGTCTACCAGCCCCAAACCTGCGCGACGTTCCAACTTCTAGACCTCTTCCACATCGTTACTTTGACGGGAAAACTTTCCGCGCATGAATTCTACAAGTCGCTCGAACACTTAACAGACAATCTCGATATCAATGTTCCCAAGGTGGGTGTTCCCTCGGACTAACCTCGTGATTTCGAGTCCTGATAGCCTTCATCTAGATGCAGTATAGGGCACTGATGAGGATGATCCGAATGTGGCGTCATCTGAAGCTCATGAAGCGTGCAGGTCGGGGAAACTTCGCTAACGGCCTCATCAACACACAGGACGTCAATATACCTGAGGACTGGAAGGATGCCCCACGGGAATTAAAGTTAGTATCACCATGTCTATTCAAGATGTCTTTCTCAGCGAATATTAGGTTTTTTTACCTCCTGATCGTCGCATTGGACGCCAACTTCCGCCTCAAGAACTTGATGTGATCAAGTGTCGCAAGGGATCCGGGTTTACATACGGGCCTGGCCTACTTCCCTGATGATGAACCGTATCGTAAGCATATTTTGAAATACGCATCACAAAAAGACGTATGTAATTATTCCAATGCTTTCTGATTCCCAGAAGTTCTGATATCCATATTGATGTGCAGATAAGCACATGCAGCGGCTTCAAAACCCTAGCTCATGCGGAAACGAAATTCTCAGGAGAAATGCGCTCGACCGGCGTGGGTATGTGCATTTGTGCTCGACATGAGTTTGTTCGAGCGAATGGGGTCAGGGACCTCCAGAAAGGTGAAAGGTAGATTTTCGGGCTCTGAATGTCGTGCCATGCTACTCTGTTCTTTCAGATATTGCAATATGGACTACATATTGCTGGGTGCGCTCGCACCAATCGCCTTACTCAGCATTTTCATCTCGTACGACATCGCCTGTCAATTCAAGCTCAAGTTTCACGAGCGAATGGCCGAGTTACCGAAGGACGTCCATGTCCCCGACAATGTCTCCGTGGACTGGGGCATCCCGAAGTGCCATTGCCCAATGCATAAAGTCCCTTGTCAGGCACCACATTCCCTGAATTTAAAACCGGGAGTTGGTCGAACAGACAGGGAAGGCATTGAGCGGAGTTGGGCGGAATGAACTTGGTAGCAAATAGTACCAAAGAGATGGGACCCGGTTCGCGACACGACACCCTCGATGACCACTTCGGGCATCACAACTGGCGGAAGAAAGTTCGCTTGGGTACTTTTCCTCACGGTCTCAGTTTGTTGATAGCTTGACGAACTCTCTCATAGGCGTAAGTTTGCACACACGGTTACTGTTGGCGATACCGGAGCAGAGGCAACAACAGAAAATTTTTGAAGATTTCTCTGCGTCGCTGCAAGATCAGGTGTTTGTGCCGAAATGGACGAAAATGGTGGAGGAGTGGGAAAAGGACCCGTCAAAGTCAAATCCTTACATGTCAGTCGTTGCAAGTAAGTTTGTTCTCGCTACCCTTGCGCCAAATGGTTAAACCTTCAGTAGATGCCTCTCAAGACGATGTGAAGCGGCAGTTGCTATTGGAAGAGAAGGAGTCCTTGAAGGCGGGCATCCCACAAATCCATGACACAGGTCCCACATCGTTCATCTCGATGGGCCTTTTAGTCGAAGATGCTCAGTAAGTGGATTTTCCCTATAGCGAAGACCCCGCTAACTTTGTTATTGTGCTTAGACGACGCATCGCCTGGGACGCTTGGGCTGAAGAAGAACTTACATTGAGCCAGAGCAACGACATCCAACGTCGGCGGCTACTCCTGCACCGACAGCTGAAACAATTCCGCAACCTACAGGCGGTCTACATGCCTGCGGCATCATTGATGATGGCCCAGCATGATGAAGCACAGAAAGCTCTGCCAATCGAGGAACGCGCTCAAGACGAGGTCGAATATCATTTACTCTGGCTCCCCTCCGCTCTACCCGACGACCACAGGCTTCACAACTGCCGTGCCAATCTCGTGACCATCGAAACCAAACTACGCCAAGCCCAGTGCTACGATACGCTAGAGAAGATTCGAAGCCTGCAACGCGGCCGCCTCTCCTTCATTGGCTTTCGCAACCGTAATATTCGTGGCCAAAACCCCAACACCCGAGCATCGGAAACCATCGCGCGAGTCGAGATGAAGTGCATGGCCCTCGCCGTCAAGTACCATGAAGCGCGAGCAGCATTATTCAAGCTAATAGGACCGGGGGCATGGGAGAACGAGCTGAGGATGCTGTCGCACAAGGATCTGACAACTCCAGATGGGACTGAGATCAACATTGAGGATCCAAACGACGAAATCGGGCCCGATGGCCGGCACGTAAGCAAGAAGAAAAGATTGATAATTCAGCGACACAACCACGATTGACAAACGGCAGATGCCCCCCAAACAACTTCACGCCAAGAAAGCACGAGCGCCCGCGAGCGAAGATGCCCATGTACACAAACGACCGCCCACATACAAGGACGACCGCCCACCAACGAGCACATATGAAGGAAACGGGCGACGACGAGCCCAGGTGAGTGAGCTCTCCCCCTCTTTCCATCACTCCCCCTCCCTCCATTGCTCCCCCTCCATCACTCCACCCACTCCCTCCTCCCTCCATCACTCCTTCATTGCTCCCCCTTCCATCCTCTCCCCTCTCTCATTCCCCTCCCTCTACCCTCTCTCATTCCCCTCCCTCTCCACACTCCCTCTCCACACTCCCTCTCCACACTCCCTCTCCATACTCCCTCTCCCTCTCCACACTCCCTCTCCACACTCCCTCTCCCTCTCCACACTCCCTCCCCCCTCCATCACTCCCTCCCCTCCCTGTAAAATTAAATTGTAGTAAATAGACTAAATTAATTACATTGAATACATCTTATTTTTCACTGGTCAGATTTACCTATCATAAGGCATTCTTAGCATTAACTTGTGCAAATGACATGTAGTCCTCAGGATTCCTGAGGACTTGACAGAAATTTTCTCCTCCAACTCAAAATCACCAAAATTATAGTGTAGTCCTGTGAGTCCTGCAGGACTCTGTGGGGGACTGATAAGTACTGAAACAAAGGTTGCTGTGTATGCCAGGATTGCCAAAGCTGTCCTCCTGGAACTGTTTTCTCTTAACCCTAACACAGTTCGTGATCGTATCAAGAGCAAGCTTGAAAGGTAAGGACTTCATTTCATGTGTTGGCCTGCTCACACCTCTGGTTTCAGCCTTAAGAACATCTACAAGAAACATGCGAAGCGGCTCTGTCGGACTGGTGAAGGTGCTCAGGAAAATGAGGATGGCTCTAGTGAAGAAACACTGTCCTTCTACATCATGGGTGATGGTCCTTGTGTTGAGACCCCTCCGCATGCTGTAAACATATGGAGTGCATCGCTATCTTCTTGTAATCTGACTGTTCACCTAATTTATTGATTTTCTAGAGGAAATTGAAGCAGATTTCCCCTTCTTTCCCACCCTTCACCGTATCTGGGCCTCCCGTCCAAACGTCACTCCAATTGTCATCACCACAGCTCTTGGTCCACATGGTTCAAAGACGGTCTGGTACCAGCCACCCGACAACAACAACAGTCATGCTGACGATAACAGTAACATTGACCCCCAGTTGCTAAATGACCCTGTCGCTACAGTGGCACCACAGCAAGAGCGGTCATTTGGGAACGATGCGGGAGGTTTGGTGAATGCCAATCAACAACCAAACCCTGCCACTCAACAACCAACACCAGAGACACCAGGGCCTCAGCGTGGCCCAAAGCCATCTTCTGTCTCCTCTGACGCCATCAAAAATGCTTGCAAAGCTGTTTCAAAGCTCCTGCAGAAATGTTCGCTTATGGATACTTTAATGGAAATTCAACGGTATTTTAATTTTGCTTCGTCGTCATCTTTTCTTACCCATTTGTAGTGAGAACCTTGCAGCCAAGAAGGCTCAAAATTGAAGCCGTATCAACCTTGAGCTGCATAAGCAGATTATTGATGAGGTAAAGATGGGCTTGTGAACCATTGAACAAGCTCAGGAGAAGATCGAGGCTATCAAGAATGAAGGTTCCCCTCGCCCTGTGAAACATCAGAAAAAGGTTGTTCAGGAGTTTAGCCCAGACTGGGAGGAAATCTCCTCTGGCTCTGAAGACCAGTGAAACGATGGTCTCTTTTCTCATCTTGAATTTCTATATTACTCGTATTGTGATACCCATAATTCCTCAACTAGCTGCCTACATTTTGCGTTGTTATCATTAATATCTACTCCATCATCCTCTTGTTGAATACCAGTATCTTCCTCCTCCTCATTATAACCATGGAAATTCATAAAATACTCTGCAGATTGGCTTCCCTCAACATCGATAACAAGGTTATGAAGGATAATCGCAACTGAAATCCATTTACAGGCTTTGTAGTGGTTGTTGTTGGAGTTGACATGGACTCAAAGACCATGCAAACACTGAAAGCGACCCTTGAGAGCACCAATGCAATGCTCAGAGCGAACACAAAGACCTGTGACTACCTTCTCAAACAAGGCATTCATTGGTTCGAGAGATGCTGGCTTTTTATGGACTGGGATTGTTCGGGAATTGACTGCATAGGCTGAGTCTGCCCATGCAAATTCTTCTCCCTCGAAGAACCAATCAGGATGCATAGCAGCTGTAGTATGCTCAAAGGCGGTTGCATCATGGGCAGAGCCAGTCATGCCATGGGTAAAATCAATGATTCAAAGGTTTGAGGGTGTATTCCCAATCTAAAAGAAAGGTTATATCAAACCCTACTAGCTAGATGAACACTTACTTGGACATTAAGACCATAGTTTGCTTTCCGTGTGTAGTACACATCCCCATTCTTTCCTGGTTTGCGATAGAGAACCACAATTGTACCATCATACATAACCCAACCATCTCTCCACGATCCTCGGAAACCCAAATAGTTATCCATCCATTCTTTTTCAGCCTCCTTCTCGGCTGGTGTCAGCTTTCAAACAAACTGGCTCTGGAGGGAGAGGATTGCTTCAAAGCAGCGATCTGTGTAGTTTATGACAGAACCTTCAGAACACCCTGCAGCATGAGCAATATCTTTCACACTGGCACCATTTCCATACCTTCCCATTCGGAAAAGGGTAACAGCTAACTGCTGCTCAACAGGTGTTTGCCCAAGGTTTGTGTCATTCTTGAAGATGTCATGATCCTCAATAAGATCAAGAATTGTGAGGAAGACGAGAGGGGTAACACAAAGCATGTTGATGAAGCGGTGATGGTGGGCAGGATCTTGAGAGAATTCCCATGCCAGATCTATGTTACCACATTTTGGGACAGGAGGATGTCCATTAAGATAACGAGTTTCCTCAAGGAGAGCAATGATTTCGAGGTCTTTTTGGAGGTTTAGAGAGTATTCTTCAAGGTTTTCGGGAGGTAAAAAAATGTCTCGAGTTGCCATAGATAGTAAGAAAGAGTCTATGAGGTCTTTCCTCAGTGGTTTCAAAGGCATAGCAAAGATAATTGACAAGAAAGGAGTCCAGGTTATCGGATTTGAATCAGGTGTGACACGCACACTGGGCGGACTTCGAAATCTACCTTATATAAGCTAATTCTTCACTAGGGAACAGCACGGGTAAGGGTATCCCGTGCGGGTTGCGGGTACGGGTACTGGCAGGTATGGGTAAGGGTCAGGATTTTTGAACCCGTGACCCACCAGACCTGTGATACTTTTTATGGTACATACGAGGCTGGGATATGCTAAAACTATATACTTGTAGTTTTAGAGTTTTGATCCCAATGTTGGATAAATAAACAGAAGCTGAAAAAAGTCAAGCCCTTTATGGCACCTACGAAATCAGCTGGCGACGCCCAGTCATCGAAGTCCAGCACGAAGTCATCAAAATCAATCACTCAGAAGGCCACTGATGGCCTCAAGAAACTGAAACGGAAAGCTACCAAGCTTCTAAGCCCGAAGAAGAAAAAGGCAGCACCATCAGACGGCGGTAAGTCGCTTATAGCACGAAATCTCACCATGAGGCTAACCCTGCATAGCTTCGGCTCCGGCGGCGAAGAGGCAAAACCAAAAGGCAACCGTGATTGATATAACTGACGATGAGGACGACGATGATAACACTGAGGGTGAGAAGGCTGCTGAGGATTCCGATGCAGAATTAGGTTAGCACGAGAGGCAAAGCCAAAAAGAATATCACTTACAAACATTTAGAGCGCATGAGCAAGGACTGGAAGTCACCCGCCTATGCTTTTTATGAGCCAGTTGTTGGAATCGAGTACGTTAGCGGACGTCGATGTCATGCCTTCAAATGCGCGGCAGTCTCCTGCCAATACACGGCGCGTCGCTTCCTTGACACGAAGGACAAGTCTTCAACGGGCAACCTAATCAAGCACATCAAGAATTGTTGGGGTAGCAAAGTTTGGGCTGCTGCTTCTGAGTGTCGGGACGCTTCAGAAGCACGGAAGGCAATTGTAAAACCGTTCGCAAAGAGCGGCTCAATCACAGCTAGTTTCGAGAGGAAAGGTAAAGGAGCTGTGACTTATTCACATCGTCAGCATACAAAAACCCAGACAAAGTGGGGCTACTTACCTTATCCTTCGAGCCTTGCTGATTTTTAACAGAGCCGAAATTGTGCGATGGGTGTCGGAAAGTAACCGCCCATTCAAGATCGTCGAAGACCGAGGTTTTCTAAACTTAATGAAGACGGGTCGGCCGGGCCATTATATCCCATCGGCCTCGACAGTCTCACGAGATGTGAAGCTGGTTTTTGGGAGGACGCGTGAAAGAATCGGAAAGATGCTACAGGTAATTGTCAATAGCTCGTCGCGAAGAGAGAAAAGAACTTACAACTTACCAGGAATATGATGGACTAATCAACTTGATTACAGACTGCTGGACCTCACCCAACCATATTGCCTACATGGCACTCATCGGTCAGTTTGAGGTGAAGGGGGTGCCGATAGCCATTGTCCTCGATGTTGTTGAGCTACCCAAAGTAAGTCCTGTGTTTCTTCTTGATGGGGTTGCACTGAATGTTCGGATAGTCGCACTCAGGACTGAACATGGCACTCGCATTCAAGGAGATCCTAGAAGAATTTGGCATTGAACATAAGGTAAGGTGGAAGGGGGAAGATTTACGCACCCCATATAAGTCTGACCAAATGTCAGATCCTCGCCCTCACTGCAGACAATGCCACCAACATGGATACCCTCAGTGACAACCTTGTAGACCAGATACCGTCGTATTGGACAGTCAACCGCACGCGATGCTTCACTCATATCTTGAACCTTGTCGCAAAATCGTTACTTCGGCAGTTCGACATCACACCCAATTCGAAAAATCCAAACGATGGTGATGGAGATGCTAGAAACGAGCTATCAGCAGCCGAAAAAGAGTTATTAGACCTTGCCAGCGACATCGACCAAGAAGAACTTACGATGGCCCAGCAAGACGAGGCCAACAATGATGAGGATGGAGCTGAGAACGATGAGGACGACAACGGCTGGGTTGACGAAGTCGAAGAGCTGTCTGAAGATGAGCGGGAGGAGCTGAAAGTACATATCCGCCCAGTCAGCCGTGTTCTCGTTAAGGCATGTGTATCTTGACAGAAGACTTACCCAGCTAACAAAACCACTGTAGCTTCGTAAACTCGCTTTCGCGCTCGTAAATTCGACCACGATTCTGCTGCCGGCCTGGAAGTCTTGCCTTGAAGAGTTGGAACAATCCGTGAGGATCATGCCCCGCGACGTCCGTACCCGGTGGAATTCAACCTACAATATGCTCAATTTTGCGCTCGAATACAAGGAAGCAATCAAAATAGTTACCTCGGACTTGAAGAACGACTTGCGCAAATTTGAGCTGAACGATGAGGAGTGGGGTCTGGTGAAAGAGTTGTCAAACACATTGATGGTAACGTGACATTAACAAGACAATTCACACACGGAGCCTGACTTTCCTTGTCTTCTTCCTTCACGCTCGTCTTTCATTTAGATTCTGAAGGATGGGACAGAATTCTTCTCGCGTGGAACACCCAACCTCGCTGCTGTCATCCCGGCCATGGACCACATCGACAAAGAATTCACGGAACAAACTCGACCAACCAGCAAAACGCACCCCGCCATTCGATACGCGCTTACCCTCGCAAAGAAGACACTTAATCGCTATTACTCACTAACGGATCATGTCGAGGTATATCGGATTGCAATGAGTACGTTCTGCTTGTTAGGTACCGCAACATTGAACGCTGATCGTTATATTGCTAGTTCTTCATCCTTCACACAAACTCGACTACTTCCACGCTGCCGGCTGGCCATTGGAATGGATTGAAACTGCTGAAGCACTTGCGCGTGACGAATACAACAGAACATACAAGAACATCGAGCTGGATGACGACGACGACGACTTGATGAGTGGAGAATCATCATCAGAGGAGGAGAAGGTATGTACTATGCACAATTCTTGCATCTCATTCCGCTAACAAAGTTGCCAGGCCTCAAAGAACATGTTCGATAACCTGCCAGCTTATAAGAAGACCTCAAGATCGAGATCCGTTACCGATGAATTCCACCTCTACCTGAACACCCCGACTGAAAGAGTTTCGAAGCCCCTGCTCTGGTGGTATGAAAAGCGCAACATATATCCCCAGCTGTATCGTATGGCACTGAATTATCTTTCCATCCCAGGTCAGCTCACAATACAGTATCTCACTACGTTTTTACTAATCTTTTTTGCCAGCTACCTCGGTTGAAGTCGAGCGGCTTTTCAGCTGTGGGCAGCTCATCCTCTCTCATACCCGCAGTCGCCTTTCCGCGCAGTCAACCCGCGCCCTCCTCTGTGTCGGTTCTTGGAGTCTTGCTGGGCTTGTGAGGAATGAAGATGTGGAGGCAGTGGCCATGCTTGACGAAATAGTGGGGAAATTGGAGCTTGATAGGCTTGGTGAAGTCCTTGGTAAGACCTACCGAGGTTTACAGTAGTCGTTTGATACAAGTCACGTTGATAATGTACATATTTCGTGACCGACTCGCATACTGATGAATCCCGTACGGGATACCCGTACCCTCCCAGACCCGTCACAACCCGTCCTTCCAGACCAACGGGTACGAGGGTATATACCCTCTCAGGTACAGGTACAGGGAGGTTAAGCAGTACCCGCGGGAGTACCCGTGCCGTTGCCTATTCTTCACCCATGGCTGCAGGCCTATGCCTTATTTCCTGGATCAATGCAGTTTCCCCTATAACACAGGGAGTGGATATACCCAGCCTGGGTTTATGCAGGCCATTCAGGTCTCTCATTTTACTGTATTTCCATTGCCCTGTATATAGATGGTTGAAAGTTATCTCCCTTTCTGGAATCCAAATGATATTTCATCTTTCTGTTGTTTTTCTGTTCAGGCATCAGTGTAAACACCATCAAACAATCTCCCATTTTGGAGCTCTGATGGTTTTTCATGTCTCTCACTCAATCCTCCGTTATAGAAGTTGTATAAAATATACCAGATATATGTTGGCATATTAACACTTGTTCTCCACCACTTTCCGCCTCCGTCGGGGGGGAATTGATGGATTGGAGAGACACATGTTGGATGTCGTAGCCTTAGAAATAAACACCATCAAACAATCTCTCATTTTGAAGCTCTGATGGTATTTCGTCTCTCCCACTCATTCCTCCACTGTAGAAATTGTATAAAATATACCGGATATATGTTGGAGTAGTAATACTTGTCTTTCAATGCTTTCCGCCTCCGTCGGGGGGGGGAGAAATCGATGGATTGGAAGCACATGTCTTGGATGTTATAGCCTTAGAAGTAAACACTTGTAAATAGCAAAATATATTTAACTAGAGCGAAAAAAAGACTACTCCTCGTCACCCTCTGCCAGGGATTCAAGAACAGGGTCAATAATATATCCCGGGCCTTCATTAGATTCATCCGTGCTCACTAAAGGTGTCCATGGCTTGTCCCACAGGCGTGTAAAACGCTCATGCAGGGCTCTTTGAATGCTCGCCTGCCGGCTCACATACGCCTGCACTCCTTCCCGTGTTGGCTCATCTAAAGCATCCTATCCCATCTGCCGATCATCCCACCATGCTGCTTTCCACTCTAGGGTTTTCCGAACCCTCCACATCTCTTCTTTAAGTAAGTGGACTTCTTCTGTCCAGTGCAAGGACTGAGCACAGGCTTTGGCCCATTCAATCCATACTGCTGGAAATCAATGCATGAGTGAAAATGACAGTCTATTGACGGCACCTTACCTTCATGAAGCACGGCGTCATTGCCATCACCAACCGCTGCTGTTGTGGTCCAGATCCATGAAACGGTCTTCCTTCCTTGCCCCAAATTCAACCGTTCTGCCGTTCGCTTCTTCTTCAATAACGTCCGACCATCAGGGCCGACCGTGTAGCCCGGAATCTCGATGCTGATCTCTTGTCCATCCGGCGTTGTCAGATCCCCATGCACCAGTGGCCACAATTCTTTTTCCCAACTGCCCGGACCCTGTAATGCCAGCAGTGCATCTCTTGCCGCCATATATTTCACCGCCATAGCTTTCGTCTTGTCCTCAAGTCGATCGAGGGTGTCCTTCACCCTGGTGTTGGGATTTTGTCCGCAAACATTCCGGTTGTGAAACCCGATGAAAGATAACCGCCCACGTTGCAAACTGTGTATCTTGTCAAGTGCGTCGTAACATTGCGCCTCACACAATTTGACCTCGATCTTGACCAGGTTCGCGTTGCAGTTGTGTTGATGATGGTCAGCGGGAAGCGACGATGGAAGCCAGAGAAGTTGATATTCGGCTTCCGAAGACCTGCGGTTCGCTTCAGGTAGAGCCTGCTGGGATGCCTTGTCCTCACTCAGCATTATGGTGGCAGCTGGCATGTAGATGGCCTGCAGGTTACGGAACTGCTTGATGTGGCATAGAAGAAGCAGACAATGGCGTTGCAGCTCATTATCTTTGATGGTCGTGAGTTCAGCCGAGTGCCTGGAATCCCAAATAATACGGCGTCTAGATGGGTATTAGTGAAAATATTTGTAGAAATTATGGAACAAATGACTCACTGGGATTCCTCGACAACCAGACCCATTGAGATGAAGCCCGTAGGCCCGGTATTGTGCAGCTGAGGCACGCCAGTTCTCACTGCACGCTTTTCTTCCTTGAGCAGTTGTTTCTTCACTTCGTCTTGGGAGGCATCTGACAACAATCAGTTGATCATCCATTTAATAAGATATGGTAAAAAAAACATACGGGTTACCTCAGAAATATACGGATTTGGTTTCTTTGAGTCTTTCTCCCACTCCAAGACCCTCTTTAACCATTTGTCCTCCAGCCCATTCTCCTTGAGTGATGATGAAAAGTCATCAAAGATAACTTGTTGATGTTTTTGTTCAGGCGTTGCGAGCGTCAAGCGGGAATGCAATGTCCTTCCTGGAAAGATAGTCACTGTGTGATTGATGATTAAGTGCGTGAATGCCTTACCAAGTGAAACACACTTCCTGAAGTTGTGGTGCTCGAAGTGGTCATCGAGCGTGTCATGCCGTGACCTGGGACCCATTTCCTTCGTACTATTCGCAACGCGGTTCATCTCGGCCCAGCTCCGTTCAATCCCCTCACCATCAGTGCGGCCTACGCCAGGCTTGAAATTCAGGGAGTGGGGTGCCTGGCAAGGCACCTTGTGCATGGGGCAATGACACTTGGGGATACCCCAGTCCAGCTTAACATCTGAGGGAATGTGTAGATGGTTTGGTAACTTCGGCATTTGTGTTTCAAAGCCAAGCTTGAATTGGCAAGCGATGTCGTAAGAGATGAAGACTGAAGCGACGAGGAGTGGAGCGAGGGCGGACAGTAAGACAAAATCCATGTTACAGTACCTAAGTCACAGAAAGTAATAAGTTTCAGCACGATGAACCACATTAGAAGGTACATACCGTTCTCCTTTCTGAAGGTCTCAGGAGCTGTTGCCAATTTGAGGTTACCCTCTGGTCACAGAGCTGTTGCCGATTTGAGGTATATTCTTCCCAGATGCGACGGACATGTGATGGACCTTACTGATGTTGGATACCGTTTAGCCGTGACCTTCTCGGCTACGGTTGAACTTTGGTCCCCATCCAATTCATTGGGTTCCCCTTCTATGTTGTCGTACTTGGTACTTGGATTCCACTCATACTGAGGGGACGGACTGCAACGAGAAGCAGATGCAGCTTTTTGGGGGGAAAGAGGGGTTTGAAGGAGGCGAAGTCCATTCTTAGAGATGCGGATGGTCCGAGATTGTGGGATCGATATGTCCTGACGCTCGTCATCGTCGTCAGATTCACACAACAACATAACGTTTATCTTTGCCCTTCGGCGCTGGGAGGAAAAATGATATCAACGAGGGAGCCAAGATAACGTACGAAACAAATGGCGGACGCGCATGATTTGTTTGTGATTTCTTGATGCTGTGACGAATGGGGGACGCAAGGGAACGCCGAAGAACAAGAACAAAAATTGACTAAAATAAAAACATAAGACTACGGAAAAACATATTAAATGAGTAGTGACATGGAGAAGACATACGGCAGCTGTTATTGACATGAAGAAGACATACGGCAGCTGTCATTGATGGTGTATCAATGCAACGGAAGGTGTATTGACGGAGATGACACCAAATTTGATGGAATCTACCTGTCGAGCTAATAATAACTCACGGGAAACATGTTTGATGAGAAGAACCCTGCGGAAATATATATATAAAGCAGAACCACACAGAAATACATTTCATTGCTTGAATTGTATATATCAAACATTTGTGGGCAGAAAAAACCCATTTTTTTCTGGGTTTCCCTACCAGAATGGAACCCAGACTTTTGGGAATACTGGGTGAAGCCAGTGTCTGTGAAATAGGCAAACTTGGATTAATCCACCACATTTTGGTCAATTCTTACAGCCTAGGCTGAATTCTTATGCGTGCTGCGAGATGCGTCTGTGAGCTGCGCCCAGCTTTGAACATCCCTAATAGAAAATTGTGTAGTGTCTGCTTTTGTCATTGCAACCCTTTGTAGATACAAAGTGTTTTAATGAAAAAAGTGGACACTACACAATTTTCTAATCAATAAAGCGGACACTACGAAGTGTTATAATGAAAAAATCGGACACTACACAATTTTCTAATGAATAAAGCGGACACTACAAAGTGTTGTAATGAAAAAAGTGGATACTACACAATTTTCTAATCAATAAAGCGGACACTACAAAGTGTTGTAATGAAAAAAGCAGACACTACAAACCAAAGTGATATTATGTAATGACTTTCCCAATTGGGAAATATGCGAACATTGTCATTAACAATGACAACACCCTGCTAGCCATTAACTCTTCTGGCCCAAAAAGTGTGGGAAATAATTCCCCACCCAAATGCGCACTGTGCCTGACATCAGGTCTGTCAGAAAAAAGTGTAATGCTTTTCTTAATTACACCATGCTAGCCATTAACTCTTCTGGCCCAAAAAGCGTGGGAAAGAGTTCCCAACCTAAATGTGCACTGTGCCTGACATCAGGTTTGTCAGAAAAAAGCTTAACACTTTTCTTAATTAGAAAATGGCCCAATTAGGAAATACTGTGCACATCATCACTAACAATGACCACACCATGCTAGCCATTAACTCTTCTATCCCAACAAGCATGGGAAACAGTTACCCACCCAAATGTGCACTGTGCCTTACATCAGGTGTGGCAGAAAAAAGTGTAACGCTTTTCCCAATTAGGAAATAGTGTGCACATCAATGCATATACTACACATGGGTCAAACCTATTGGTACATATCTGTCAACAAACATCCCAATGAGGGTATTCTGCCTACAAAATAATAGGTAAATCCCCTATCCCCTATATTAAAATAATCCCAAGTTTTTCTCTTAAATATAGGACCCCAGACACCCCTTGTGGCTGAAAAAATATATTCTTAGTCAACCCTAGCTGCAAAATATATCCCAAGTCCATCCCAGACAAGAAATATATTTCTACATTGTGACAGTCACAATTCAGGGTCCAGCCATAGGAAATATATTTGGAGTCCATTCCAGTGAGGAAATATATTTTGGGGTGTGTGACACATAGAAGTATATTTAGTGTGACATTGGACAATAAAATATATTTAGGTAAAAGTGGAGATATACAAGCCCACAATATATACAATATAGATATACACCCTGACATTTAGTCCTGTAGTATTCATGGAGTTTGCAAGACTAATAGTCAGTTGTCAGTGGGTGACTGACGTGCAGCTGTCGCTTTCCATATGCGGCTCTAGATCACTTTGTTGTGAAAGATGCTCAACTCACTCAAATCAAGGGCATTTATGATGCTGCAGGTGAGCTTGCTCTTCAAGTGCCTCATGGTTCAGTTCCCAGCATGTACTCCCATCTGTCATGTAGGTTCTCTTCTCTGGGACATATGCTCTTGGATAATTACTCCACCTTGATAGATCCGACATACATCTGACTTCCACCATCAAGGGTTGCAATGCCAGGTGTTTTGAATAGCATCTGTGCTGCTCTAGCAACTCGTTACTCAACTCCAGTAACCCAAATTAGAAAGCATGTAAAGACAGCTACAATCACAGAGTGGGCTAAGGTTCAATGTGTTGACTCTGATGAGGGTGATACAGCCAGTCATCATCTTTGCTCTGCAAAGTTTCTGAGGACTCGCATGATGGAAGTTTTGCACAGGTGTGTATTACAGTATTTGCAACTCTGAGTTTGGTGCTCATTTTCTTTTAGTTTGAATCATATGTAGATATTCATGCAAGGTCTAAATGAAATACAGTGCTGCCGCTCAACACTTTTTATGGCCAACTCAAATATATTTTTGTCATCCAGTACAACCCCACTTCATCCCAGAAGCTACAAGAAGAAGTTGTCATCTTAGCAGCCATGTGGACTTGCAAACTCAAAGATGGGTCAAGGACGGTAACCGCGGGTAGGCAATCATTGACAGAAGTGGATCCTTAGCTATGTGACTTCATGCCTATCATATTTATTCTAAGTCTAATGTAGTCAATTGATTATTATATTTTGTTCTGTAATAACCTCACAACTTTCTGCTTAGAACAGTTCTATAGATTAAAATTCTAATATATTGAAGTGCTACACAAATATTATTTTATAAACTTTTGTAGTCTTTTGTATGTATCAGTAAACTTTGTAGTCTAATTTTGACTTTTGTAGTCTTTTATAGTGTATCAGTAAACTATGTAGTCTAAGTCCGACTTTTTTGTAGTCTATTAGTAAACTTGGTAGTCTATATCTGTAGGGCATCACCTTCCTTTTTTGGTCATTTTTCCTGTGATACAATAATTGTAGCCCTTTCTTTTAGCTTTCTAAATATACTGAAATCATGTTATTTGGTTTTGTTTTCATGGAGAAAAACACAAAAAACAAAAAAAAACCCAATGCTTTTGAAATTCCTTAACCTCATATCTCCACAATGGGAGCACTTCAGAACATAATTCAAACAGATTCAGGAAGCTACAGTGTAGGGCTACAACTTTCATTTTTGACCATTTTTGGTAATGGGTCATGTGACCAACATCCCAACATCCCATTACATGGACCCTGATAGGTAAAATCATTCTCATCTTGCTTTTCTTCACTTTTAGTCAAACCAGGTCATATTTCCCTTTTGGGATGGACCCTGAAGGTAGTGCCTGATGTTCTGTACACCATTCATATGTTTTTTCCAATTTTTCTGCTATTTTCTGGCTATTTTTGGATATATTACCATATTTGGAAATGTGCTCTACCCTGAAAACAACCCCAATGTAATCACCACCAGTGAGCACCACCCTGCCATTTTTTTCCAGATTTTTTGGCTATTTTTTGGATATATTACCTTATTTTGGCAATGCACCCTGGACCCTGAAAACAACCCCAATGTCATCACCAACAGTAAGCACCATCCCCCATTTTTTTCTGATTTTTTGGCTATTTTCCAGCTATTCTACCATATTTGGCAATGCACCCTGGACCCTGAAAACAGTCCCTGATGTCATCACTAACAGTGAGCACCATCCCCCATTCTTTTCTGATTTTTCCCCTATTTTATTGCTATTTTTCATTTGGAAAAAGCGCATATTTCCTTATTTGGAAATGCGCCCTGGACCCTGAAAACAGTGCCCAACGTCGTCACCAACAGTGAGCACAACCACTGTAAAGCAATGAGTGAAACAGTTGCCGTGGTGGAATGAAATAAAAAATGAAGTAGTTGCCGTGAATGAATGAAATGAAATGAATGAAATCATTGCCAGGAAGGAATGAAACAGAATGAATTATCTTGAATGAAACAGGTGCCGTGAATGAATGAAATGAAATGAATGAAATCACTGCCAGGAATGAATGAAATCGTCGCCAGGAAGGAATGAAACAGAATGAATTATCTTGAATGAAACAGTTGCCGTGAATGAATGAAAATGCATTTCATTCATTCATGGTAGCTGATCAAGTTTTTTTATGGCAGCTGCCATAACTACATCATATAATTGGCAGCTACCAGTCGACTTCTAAACCAGCAACATCGAACGTTACTGTCACTGCCCTACCCCCTGTTACAAACACTACAGCTCAATCTTCACGCGAATCAACAATTGAAACAGAGCCGTTGACCAGCCCCAAACTGACGATGCAATCCACAGGCTTTGATACCATAGTGGAAGAGGTCTTATCAGTGCCCCCCTAATTCCTGCAGGATTCCGGTCATTCCTGCGGATTCCGGTGGATTCCGGAGGAATGAAATTTGGCAGGGAGGCCTGCCATTTTCATCATTCCGGTGCCTTACCATTCCGGCGGAATTTGGGCATTCCGGAATTGACACCGGAATGATCCGCGGAATGCACAGGAACGGAATGTAACGGAATCTGGTCCTTTGTTTGTTTATTTTAGTTCTGTTACCAAACAAAGGCAATGTTACCAAATAGTTGCAACACCCTTTCCTCTCAGCCACCACCAACCATCCTTGTCTCCCCACTTCCATTCCCTCCCACCACCCACGTTGGCAACAACGACAACGACAACGACACCACACGACCCAACAACGGCCACGACCAAACCAGCAACAAACAGAAGCGACCACCGCCAGCAAGGCGGCACCACGACAATCCACGAGCGCCCACGACAACGACGTGGCCGATCCACAGGCGCCCCCTTCAACGACGTGGGTACGAGGCGACAACGCGACGACGACAACGCGCCGTGGGTACGAGGCAACAACGTGACGACGACGATGACGCGAAGTGGGTACGAGGCAACAACGCGACGACATGACAATGCGACGACAACGACAACGACTCGACGAGGGTACGACGCGACGACGATGACACGACAACGCGACGACGACGACACGACGTGGGTACGACGCAATGACGAGAACGCGACAACGACGTGACGCGACAACGCGACGACAACACGACGACGACAACACGACGACGACGCAATGTGGGTACGAGACGACAACGCGACGACAACAACGCGACATAGGAACGAGACGACGCAACGTGGGTACCATTAGTCCCCACCACTCTCTCCCCTTCCTTCCCCTCCCCAGGGCCTGCCCCACACCATTGCCTGTCCCTCCTCCCTTCCTTCCTCCCCCCTTCCTTCCTCCCCCCTTCCTTCCTCCCTCCCTCCCTCCCTTCCTCCCTCCCTCCCTCCCTCCCTTCCTCCCCCCTTCCTTCCTCCCCCCTTCCTCCCTTCCTCCTTCCCTCCCTCCCTTCCTCCTTCCCTCCCTCCCTTCCTCACAAGGGGCAAACGGCGTTCGTCGCCTGGTAAAAATGTGATAAAATGCAGATAACTATGTTAAATCTTTGATGTCACATTTATAACAAAAAATTGGAGTTAAAAAAGATTAATCATTACTGTAAGTTTTTTGCTGCAGGAAGGTGATGTTGAAGATGTAAAATATTTATCAGTCTTTTGCAAGCTGAGTAAAATGAATTTCCTACAAAAAATGTCCTCCTGGTAAAGAGATAAAAAAAAGTCCGGCAAAATGAGATCGATCTTTATCTTCTTACCGCGGCGACAATGTATAATATTTACCAGTCATTCCTTCAAAGATCATGAGCAATAAAATTTTAATCTAAACCCTTAGCAATGCTTATTAAATGTTTATTCCACAAATAGACAGATGCCATACTTTATGTTTTTTGCAAAGCAATTACTTTTTGTTTTTGTTACTCATTCCCCTGACAGAAATTTTGAGTTGAATAGGTGAACTATTTTATTGAACATCTGTCACTCAAAAAACAGGTAATGGGTATTTTACTTCTCCTTATCAGCATTATTGCTCATGACTTTTTTTTATCTCTTTACCAGGAGGACATTTTTTGTAGGAAATTCATTTTACTCAGCTTGCAAAAGACTGATAAATATTTTACATCTTCAACATCACCTTCCTGCAGCAAAAAACTTGCAGTAATGATTAATCTTTTTTAACTCCAATTTTTTGTTATAAATGTGAAATCAAAGATTTAACATAGTTATCTGCATTTTATCACATTTTTACCAGGCAACAAACGCCGTTTGCCCCTTGTGCCTGCCCCTTCATTTAACTTAGAAACTAGTAAATTGAATGTAGATTTGAGTTTTAATATATAAATGCCCTCCCTTCCTTCCCTTCCTGCCCCTTCATTTAACTTAGAAAATAGTAAATTAGATGTAAATTTGAGTTTTAATATATAAATGCTGTCCCTCCCTCCCCTCCCTCTCTTCCTGCCCCTTCATTTAACTTAGAAAATAGTAAATTAGATGTAGATTTGAGTTTTAATATATAAATGTTATAAGAAAGTGTTCATACCCTTTAAGTCAGTGTGAAGAAGTGCATATTAGTGTAAATGTATCTAGCAAAAAGGAAGCAGATGAAGAAACCAGCAGAAGGTGAGGAGGATAACTTGGGTTTGGATGAAGAAGTCCAGGATGATGAGGATAACTAAATGACAGTAAGAAAAAGTGTATATTAGTGTAAGAGAAGTAGGCAGAAGTGTATATTAGTGTAAATTCACCAGATTCCGGTTCCATTCCTGTGGATTCCTGTCCCATTCCTGCGGATTCCTGTCCCATTCCTGCGGATTCCTGCGGACTCCAGTGGATTCCTGTGGATTCCTGCAGGAATGGGTGGGGCACTATAAAGTACTGGAATATTGCAAGAAACCAAGAATTGCTGCGTGTGCAAAGTCAAAAAGAGGTTTCCAATGGAGGGGTTGAAGAGCTCCGTCAACGAGAAAGTGGGCGATAAGAAAGAAGCGGCAAAAAAGAATGAAAAGGGGCATTGCAAACCCACAAGAACTTCGGCGAGACTACAAGGACCGGACATGCCGGCTTCCACGGGACCGACCGCTGAGCCAATCATTGATGACACACCTCGCGACGACGCAGCTCCCTTCCATCAAACCAGTCGTCTCTGCTCCATTTTCCCCAACTCAATCTCTAGTTGAGCCTGCTGTGCTCTCTGAACCCTCTGGACCAGCTTTGGCAGTGTCTTCACCTCCTGCTGCCTCCACAGCTTCCAATAAATGCCCCACAGATGACCAGAATTCTCTGCTTTTGGCACACGCCACGTCCACACCTGTTTCGTCCTCCACCTCTTTCTCCGCTGACGACATACGTGTCATTTCTACACTTGCAGCCTCAACAGCTGCTGCACCCATCACGCCGGCGTCAACAAGTCCCATCGTGACCCAGCCTCTGCACCTGCCATCCTACCTGAACCGACTTCCGCGTCCCAGGTAGCATCTGGCGCCATTCTGGCAGGCTCACTCGACAATGGGGGAGAGCCAATGGACGTCAACGCTGATTCAAGGGCCCATGACGCAATTCCTGCCCCGACCTGGATGTGTGATGTTAACATGTCAAAATACTTGTGTGACGTTTCAAAGGAAGGGGCATGGCAGAAGCTCATAGACACCCTCTTTCTGTTCAAGGCGATAAATACGGCTACTGGGGTAAGTTCATTTTTCTTTCATTTGTCTATGCTTACTGACCTTGCCTTTTAGAAATTACCGACCACCTCACGTCCTGATGAGGTTGCGTCGTGGATCAAAAGCAAGAAGAAGGACACGCCACGCGAAGTCAACCCCGATTCCTATGGGTCTTCCTTTATGGCTTGGTGGATCGCCATTCAACCGGATTGGAGACTCAATGATGACACTTCCTTCAACTATGTGGTACCAGCTACTGAGGACTGGCGCCAACTCCATAAAGGTGGATCGGCAGGGCTCTATACCATTGTAGTAGCCCTCTCATGGTGGATCAAGGCATTATCTGCAGAGACCAACTCCTCGCGCGCGTGGTCTGCTGTTCGTGATGTTCAGTGGGTAGTTGACCAGATTTATAAGAAGGTCAAGCCTGTTCCTCAAGTTAAAAAATGAGGACGTGATGATGGTAATCTGGATGCCGGCAAGGGCAAAAAGTACGGCCTAACATTTTCGTTGTGTTTCTCTATTCTCACCGCCATTTTAGATGTTGTTTAGGTTGAATAGGTGGTGACGGCTGCTGTCCCCCTCTCGTTGAATAGAACATACACTAACGTAGCTTCACTAGTACTTCTGCTGGTACATACTGTAGACTCATGCCGGTTGTGTTTCTCATTACATTCCTTTTTTGCTGTGCAACCCTGTCACGTGATGAGAGTGTATGGAATCAATCATAAGTGTGCAATGAAAGGCACCGGGAATGTCACTGAATGAAAGCATGTTGGATTTCTGATGAAATGGGCAAAGAAATGGCTGGGAACAATAATGAAATAGTAATACGAGATTCAATGAAAGCGGCTGAATTACTAGATCACTCTCAATATGAGAAACTGGTGGAGTGTCAAGCACCCGACATGCAGTGTTTGTATTTGTGTTTGGCAAGAGATACACAAGCAAGTAATGAAATGATATTAGGCTATGGTATAGTAATAAGATCAGCCCAGTATAGATATGAAATGGTAATGAGATTGGCCTAGGGAAGTAATGATATATTAATAATATCGGCCTGGTATAGATATGAAATGGTAATGATATTGGCCTAGGGAACTAATGATATAGTAATAATATTGGCCTGGTATAGATATGAAATGGTAATGATATTGGCCTAGGAAAGTAATGATATAGTAATAATATCAGCTTAGAGAAATAATGAAATGGAACTGGGATAAATGAAATAAAGCAATGAAATTGACTGGCACTACAATGATATACATTTCATTTCTGTAGCCAAGATTTCTCATATCATAATTTTAGTTGGCCAGATTTAAATGACTGTGCAGGCAGGTGCTTAGGTTTTATCATATAAGTGGTAGGCACCACTCGGATGCTCACGCGGATGAAATATTGGGCTGTGATTGATCCAGAAGTCTTACATATACGTCACCTCCTCGATCTTGCAATCGCTCGCAACATGTGTTTCGTCATGGCCACGAGAACTGGGGATCTAAAATCCTTCAAGCCCATTCTGCCTGCAGATCTGGCGGAACTCACCAAGCGGACATACAAAGCCAGATTCCAAGAAGAACAGCTTTCCGAGACCAGTACATGGGTAAGCTTGTGGATATTCTTCGTCGCCCTCATGCCTGCGCCCTGATTAGCATGGGGGGACCTACTGCTTGGATAGCGAAACGCTTCGGTGGCCCTACCTTAGTTCAGAGGTTCATGGATGGGCCGTCCACTCAAGTAACAGTTCATCACCGTGGCACGGTAGCCTCCTCACCCTTCTTCGACGACCCCTTATTTCATGATCAAATATCAGCACAGGAAGAGAATCTTGTACATGGCTTCGTATCAGCGGAGAACCCGGAGCACCATCGATGGCTCTTCCCTACAACAGACGTCATGGAGGATTTCTGCCACCACTGGAGCGGTGAATGGACTGCGGGTTGCGACTCAATTTTCCACAACATTGCAAAAGCACTTGAGTGCGGAACAGCTAAACCCTTGACACGAAAGGGTTGGAAGTCTTACTTGCACAGCACGAATCACAGGGCACGTCGTCCAACTGTACACATTACTGCGACTCATTTTTCGGAAGTCGACGAGCTCTTACTTGCATTCCCGGACCCTTGGCATGGCAAACACATCGCTGATATCAACTTTCCCACTCCGTTCGATTCCTTAAGTGGGAATTAGGGGGGCTCTGTGACGGATGTCTTACTTATCGTATAATTCCCACTTCATGAACTGTTAGTTTATATTTTGTTATAGGTTTAGCACTTGCTTACGCAAGCACACAATTCAACTTATGTTACATACTTCTAGTCACACTATGTAATGTCACCTTTTTTCTATTCTTCAAACCACCACTGCGTGTACTCCGTGTCAGGAATAGCGTTGTATCACATTCTTACGGAAGTATAGTAAGTGCTTTGAGTTTAGTTAAAGCTGCTGAATACTCTCACAGAGGTGTTTGGCTACTAAACAGCAGCCTTATCCATCTTCTCACGTTTACTACCTTCTCAAGGATTTCCTGAGAAGGAGCAAGGATCGTGCAACGGATCTCCGAAGCATTGACGATCTCCGCTAAGTATCCGTGAGAACTGACCAAAGCTGACGCTTGATCGCACACCAGTGTGACAACGGTGTCTGAATGTTCGCCAGCTCACTTGTTGTTGGTAGAAGACCCACACAGTTTCATTAAGCTCACGGAACACCTGTCACATAGCTATTCTTAGCTTGGCATGATCTCGCGTGTTTGTTTCTATGGCCCGGTTTACCGGTTTGACAGATGACATCACAAAATGATTAACGTTTCCTGATGCGTTGATGCGCATGCGTATGTGTTTACCAATAGTCTTTGGTCTTCCGTTGTTCCCGAGTTTTTAATTAAAATGCCTTGTCTTGGCTCGTCTTTTCATTACGGAGGTCGGTAGACACTCCAAAGGTGTTTTCAAATGTCTTTCTTAATTGTCTGGAGCTTCTTATTATATTTCATATAAAAGAATGTGTCTTTTTCTCATGTTTGTACCTGTGATGTTCAGACGCATCAGTCTTTGATGCGTACGCGGGAACTGCTGTACATAATTTTCTGAGTGGCCGTGAGCCATGCTGAGTCTTCGTACGTTTACTGCCTAGGCGTAGTTTAGTCTTTCAATGTTTCAGACATGCCGTTTAGGCGTCTAAGTCGTCTTTTCTGTATTTCTTGTATAAACATGAGTTTTCACAATAAATCCATTATGTGTTTCTAAAACCCTTTAGTAGTAATGCAATTCTTCTCCCTGCATTGGGTGTTTACTCTAGAACCTCTTTGTGCTCTATTTCATGGTAGGTGAATCTTAGATAGGATCCAAGTATAATGTCACGACGCAGCAGCTCGACTTTAGCTCATGCTGATGATGTGAGGGATCTGGGGGACTTGAAGGACAATGTGAGGGTTGTAGGGATTGATGAGAAGTCTGTTGGGGAAGTATAAGATGCACTTGAGGGAGAAGAGTTCACCAGCCCCCTTACAGCGTCTGCAAGAACGGCATCTTGGTCAACGGCGTTGCGGTCCACGTCAACAGCACCCTGCAGACAATTTATTACCGACCAGCTTTGCACACACATCCTTGACCATCCAGAATCCCACACGAGGGCAAGTTCACCAATCCGTTCTGGATTGTGCCTCACTCAAATTCGGCTGAACAGTCAACCTTCCAACATGGACCTCGAGTCGCCCTTAACACCTACTAGCAAAACTTGTCCGCACAAAGTCTTCATACTGCCGAATCATGCCATTGCCACTCAGCCCTTCCGCTACTCGACTGTGGTTCACACCAGTGGGAAGACTGAACTGGGAGATTCGAAGGATGAGGCGAAGGCTGCAGGAATCAATAAGCAGGCCACCAGGTCGATGGAAGCTGCAGTGGAGGGGAAAAAGGTTACCAAGGTGCTGTGTGCGCGTTCATCGGCCTACAGTTCATTGGGGAGCAGAGCCTCTTCATGTGGTCAGCAATCATCCGATGGCCTAAGCTTCTCCCCCATCCATTCTCCTACATACAGTGGTGGACGACCCTTCTCCCAACCACAATCTCATGCTCATTCCCTGTCAACGGATGACTTCGGGTGTGACAAGCATCGGTACTCTTTGCCTGAGAACGACAATACGCCCAACGACAACAATCACATGCTTAACGCCTCACACTCAAATCCCGGCAGCACAATCATCAACTCCATCTCTTCCCTCCCCATTTGCATGGACGACTTGGACTACCACTCGATGACGTGCCCAACGGTGTCATTGGAGCCTTCAAATGGACTCAACGCATTGCAGGGGGGGAATGTGGATTCGAATAGGAAGGGTATGGAGGCTGAACATGAACAATTGCCTCCCAAAGAGCCAGCGTCGCCAACCACATTTGACATTGCAAGTACTACATCATCACCAGTCCACAACACTCATCCAATCACTCCTTCTTCCCCGGCATGTGACCTCTACCAATACCCAGGGTCTCTTCACTTACGCCCTCCTACACCTTTTCTCCCAAACCAACAATGTTGCTCCTTCTCGCCTCCCTTCCATCAATTTGCTCCCTCTTGGACTCCTTTATCGGCTAATCTTCATTCAAGTTCTTGTCAACGGTGGCTCAACTCACAAAATAAGCATTTAAAGACATTGCCATTCATGAACATTCTCATGGTTGAAAACAGGAGCTGCACGTTGCCACCAAAACCCATGCCCTCCTCTCTTCCTCCTTCAAGAGCCTGCCAGCTGAGCTGCAATACACAAGACGATCGGATACAGACCGACGCGTCACCATTCCTGGACATTCCCATGGTTGATGATGAAGGACACCCGTTTGACAAGGAAGGATGCCTGTTGTCAATGATGTGCAACAGTGTGACCTCACCCATGTTCCGGCCACTCCAACATCAAACCTTTGGAGCCTGGGTCCTGCTGAGACATCATGCAACTTTGCTTCGCTTCACGGCGATGATCTGGAAGGTTGGAAAAATTTGGATTTTGAGGAGAGAGTGGTCAATGTGGTCGAGAGCGTAGCAGGAGAAGGAGAAGTACCAACAGGAAAGAGGATCAATGCCGAAGCGACGTTCATGCAGTTGTCTCCCATCTCACTAACCTCAGGTAGTATGATTTTCAAGGCCCCTGCTCCAACGTTGGGGGGCTCATCCTTCCAGACCCCACCAACACATACACCTCTGTTCAGACCCTTGTCATGTGATGTCGCTGAGCACCTGTTGACAACACCCATTGTTCGTTTATGCCCTCCTACTCTCCTTTCCCATAGTTCTAAGTCTGTTCAACCTTCCTCTTGAGCAGTTCTTCGGTGTTTGCTACATTGTCAAACACATCTTCACATGCTGCTACTCACTTGATGGCTGCTTCCCAAACTCTATCAAACCATCCTTCCTTGCCTCTTGCTTTCCTCAGCATTGCACCATCAGTTCATGGGCACTTCAGTCACCCACTACCAACTGACTATTAGTCATGCAAACTCCACATAAGTTACATGACTAAATGTCATGGACCATATCTAGATTCTAGATATATATGGGTCCTAAAAAGCTCTGAAATCTAAAATATATTCTTGAGACATGGACCCTGAAATGTCACACAAAAATTATAATGTCTGTGTCACACCCCCAAAATATATTTTGCAAGTGAAATGCAGTAAGGATATATTTTTGGTGAGTGGACCCTGAAATGTCACTGTCACACCTTAGAAATATATTTTTGCCCTGGCTTGACCTTAGGATATATTTTGTGAAACAGATGTGGTAAGGATATATTTTTCTGGTCTGTAGGGGTGTCAGGGGTCCTAGTTCCAGCAAAAAACTTGTGATTTTTTTTGCTGTCTGGGGTATATATTCTGGAAGATTCTGCAATGAATTCCAGGGGTTTTGGGACTATGTCTGGCTTGTGCTCCAAGTATGTAGGCAGCAATAAGGGACATCAATAGCATCAGGAATCCACCTGAGTTGCTTAAGTATCATCCACTTCCAATCACACTATGAATACAGTTCACATTACAGATTCATTCATTCTCCTCTAGCAATTTTGGGCCTCAATGACATGTGTGATTCACCTTAAAGCTATTCAGTCCAAGATTCCTGAGTTGCTTTGACATTATGGATACAGTTTGCACTATGGAATTTTTTAGCTGCTTAGAAATCTCCTCCACTTCTGCCTGTACTTCAGCTCTGAGATCTCCAGTTGCACCTTATCTGCATACCCCACCGACATCTGTATTAGCCAAACCCCCACACATGATATCAAACATCTCTCCCAATCCACTTTCAAAAACAAGGGTTCATAAATTTCTTTGCTGTTTCCCTCTTTCTCTCTCCACTTGCACCTTATCTTCATACCCTACCAACATCTGTATTACCATCCCCTGCCAGTCAAACTCCTGCATGTGATATCAAACATCTCTCCCAACCCACTTTCACAGACAAGAGTTTACCAAGCTCTTTGTTGTTTCTCTCTTTCTCTTCCTCTCTTCCTCTCCTCCTCTTCTCCTCTCCCTCCCTTCCTCTCTTTCTCTTGACTCTTGATTGAAAATTTATGGACAACAAATTTCATTCTCCTTGAACAAATTCTGTTCACCATGTCATGACATGGGGTTCTTTGTATTTTCCATGATTGCCTTTATGCTTGCCATTACTTGACTTATGTGCATGGTTCTAAGTGTGACACAGAAATATGCCACACCATTGAAAACACCTGGAACTAATTTTGCACTTTGCTTGCTACCTTGAAGTGTGTTACTATGGATACAGTTCACACTGTGGAATTTTTTAGCTGCTTAAAAATCCCCTCCACTTCTTCCTCTACTTCAGCTCCAAGATCTCCAGTTGCACCTTATCTGCATACCCCACCCACATCTGTATCACCATCCTCTGCCAGATGAATCCTTGCATGTGATATCAACCATCTCTCCCAATTGACTTTCAAAAACCAGAGTTCACAGAGTTCTTTGATCTTTCTCTTCTTCTCTCTCCAGTTTCACCTTATCTGCATACCCCACCCACATCTGTATTACCATCCTCTGCCAGTCAAACCCCTGCATGTGATATCAACCATCTCTCCCACCCCACCTTCACAGAGAAGAGTTCACCAAGTTCTTTGTTGTTTCTCTCCTTCTCTTCCTTTCTCCCTCTCCTCCTCTTCTTCTCTCCCTGCCTTCCTCCCTCTTTCTCTTGACTCTTGATTGTAAATTCATGGACAACAAGTTCCATTCTCCTCTAACAAATTCTATGCACCATGTCTTTCCACTAAATCCTGAACCAAGATCTATTTTTCAACCATATCATGAATCCAGATATATAATTTCTAACGATATGATGAATATTTTAATTAGATGCTGAACCAAGATATATCTTTCCACTTTATCTTGAACAAGTATGTATCTTGCAACTATATCTTCAACAAGGATATATTCACAAGACATATATTTCAATTATATCCTGACCCAGGATATATTACCAATATCTATTCTCAAGCTATATCTTTCAACTTTATCTTGAACAAAGATATAAATTCAACAAGATATTGAACCGGGATATATTACCAAGATATATTCTTGAGCTATATCTTCAACCAGGATATATTACTAAGATATATTCTTAAACTATATTCTGAAACAGTATTTCAACAATATCTTGCACAAGACAAAGGTGCAGTGTATTATATATAACTACATAGATTTACATTACTACATTTACCACTAGATAAAGAAACAAAGAGAAGGGGAGGCAGTGAGGGAGAGGCAGTGGGGGTTGGTGGCAGTAAGGGAGGGGGGAAGGGGATATAGAGGGGGGAGGGGGTGGCAGGCAATGAGAGAGAGGGGGAGTGAGTGCTGCAAGTGATGGAGAGGGGGAGGGAGTGGTGTGCAGTGAGGGAGAGGGGGAGAGGGGGAGGGAGAAGGGAATGGGGAAGGGAGTGAGGGAGAGGGAGAAGGGAATGGGGGAGGGAGGAAATTGGGGAGGGAGTGAGGGAATGGGGGAGGGAGTGAGGGAATGGAGGAGGGAGCGATGGGCCATGAGGGAATGGATGGTGGTCAGCGCTCAGCGTGTCTTCGTCATCGTCCGTCTGTTGATTGTTGGCCATCGTCGTCGTTGTGGCATTGGACTTGTGTTAGCTATGTGGGTGGTGATAGATGCGGGGCATGCTCACTGTATTTATCATACAATGACGATGACGACAATCATCATTCGTCATCCGTATGCGTCCCATAGTTCCCACGTCGCTGACTGTGAGGTGGCCTGGCTCGCTCATGGCTCTGGCGCCATGGCGTGTGCTGGTCGTTGTTCGTCTGTTGGGCGGCTGTGGTTGTTTGCAGTGGTGGGGGTTGTGTGACGTGGCAGAGTGCCGAAGTGTCATGGTACGTTGTAGTGACGTGGTCGTGGTACATTGTAGTGACGTGGTCGTGGTACGTCGTAGTGACGTGGTTGTGGTGTGGTTGTCGTGGTGTGTCGCGGTGATGAGGTTGTGGTGATGTGGTGACGTCGTGGCAGACGTGTCGCGGCTTGGTTTGTTGTTAGCGAGTTGGTTGGGGAAGAAGGAAAAAGGCACTCACCGTGATGATAAGAACAGAACAATGGACGACGAAGTCTCGTCGTCTGTCGTTTGGTTGCCACGTCGCTGTTGGCAACGTGGCACCTGGCATTGTTGTCAGAAAACCAACAGAAAACGAAAGGGGGAGGGGATGAGTGGGTGCTCACCAATTTGACAACGACGAACGGAGACACATCGCCGTTCGTCATCTGGCTACACTTCTGTCATCACCCCTTGTTGTTGCCACATTTCGGTCGTGTTGCATCGTGGTTATGTTGCATTGTTGTGTTGTGTTGTGGTCGTGTGGCGTTGTTTCATTTCATGGTGGCGGCGCCACGGTGTTGCAAGGCCATTGTTGCTGTGGTGGTGGTTGTGAGTGATGATGAGACGATGGTGGCAATGGTGGCATTGTCAGCGTTGTTGATGGTGGTGGGCGTCATCGATGGTGGTGGACGTCATCGACGGTAGTGGGCATTGTTGATGGTATTGAAGGACAGGAGTAACGTCACAAGTCACAGCATGTGACCTTGCCTTCAACGAAAGTCAGATCACACTCACGCCGAAAACTGTAGTGCCTACCATTTCCATTTAAAGTCCATTATAAATTTTGCCCTTTTCAATACATGGATTTCTAGTGTCTGCATTTTGGGAATACAAAAATTTGAGTATCTGCATTCTTCATTACAAAACTTTGTAGTGTTTGCTTTTGGGGACTACAAAATTCTATTCTCCTCTTTTTTTATTACAAAAGCTTGTGGTGTTCACTTTTTTCATTACAAAACTTTGCAGCACCAATTTTTTGAGCCTACAAAAGTTTCCAGTGTCTACTTTTTCAGATTACAAAGCTGTCTGCTGGTATCTTGTAGTGTCCTTGACTCTTACTCAAAATTTTGTAAAGAAAAAGTGGAGAGGACAAGCTTTTCTAATGAATCAAAAGGAGAGGATGAATTTTTATAACCTTTTTATAGTCTCTGTACCCTCCCTAGAATTATGATTAAGACTTGTCTATTTGAGGGGCTTGAATTCTCTGACACCTCTTTGTGGGGGAGTCAAGGACACTAGAAGATACCAGCACACACCTTTGCAGTCTAGAAAAGTGGACACTAGAAACTTTTCTAGTTCTCAGATATGGAGACTACAATGTTTTGTAGGCTCACAAAGCTGATACTACAAAATTTTGTGATGAAAGAGTGGAGAGTTTAAAGTTTTCTGATGAATGAAAAAGGAAACTACAAATTTTTGTTGTCCCATAAAGTGGACAGTCCAAACTTTTCTAATGAATAAAAAGGAGACTAAATTTTTATATGTGGCTAAATTCAACTTCTGTGAAACATTGAACTATATCCTTATTTAACTACTCATAGTCAAGGACACTACAAGATACCAGCACACACCTTTGTAGTCTGAAAAAGTGGACACTAGAAACTTTTGCAGGTCTAAGATATGGAGACTAAAAGTGGACTAGACAAGCTTTTATAATGAAGCAAGAAGAGACTATGAATTCCTGTAGTCCCAAAAAATGAATACTACAATTAAGTACAAAGTTTTGTAATAAAAAATGCAGGCACTCGAGTTTTTGTATTCCCAAAAACCAGACACTGAAAAGTCCTGTAATCAAAAAAGGGTCTACTACAAAACTTTACAATGGACACTACAAAATCTGAATAGAAACAGTGGTGAGTGTGAGCGCGAGAATGCGATGCAAGATCGTGGTCCTACATGCAGAACGTGATCTTAGGCCAACGTCACTTAGTGTGACTTGGTGACGTTGCTTCTCGCTTCAACCCACAACACCACTATCCACGTCAACACCAACGACCACCTCACCACCACGTCGCCGCCATGCCAGGTCACGCAACCCCGCTGCCATAAACAACCCTGGCAGCCCAAAAACGACAACAACTGCCCAAGAAACCACACACAACGAAGAATGACGACCAACGCGAACAAACGACCATGACTGCCTAGCAACTCGACAACCCAATCCACAGAAACAACGATGGGGAATCGATGGCTACCGCCCACGAAAATTGATGGACAGCACCCACGAAAGTCGATGAGCGACACACACCCACGGCCCCAGCCACAAACGACCCCACGTCGCAATCAGCGACATTGTAACTCCTACACACGTACAAACGACGGACGACAACAATGACACAACGACAACGACAACGACATAATTGTTGTTGTCGTCATTGTGTATTGAATGGTGAGCACACCACCACCTCTATCACGACTCACATAGCTGACACAAGCCCACCACAGTCGACCGCCCACTCCGCCAGAGGGTGGTCGACAGCTGGTACCCCCCACCTCACGCCTCCCCCAAGGGAATGGCACGCCGCCCACCGACAATGACCCAGAAACGACGGTCAGCGCCCAACAAACGATTCTGTCCACCCAGCAACGACGGCCATAACAACTGGTGAACGATGACCAGCGCCGACGTAAACGACAACTAGTGTGGACGAAAACGACGACCATGCACCCCATGACTCCAGAATGACCCAAAGAGCGAGCTGGGCCACATCTCAGTGAGCAACGTGGCGAACACGCGATGCAGACTGATGAGGGGCGACGACGACGATGATAATGTTGTCGCCGTCATTGGTTTATGTTTCATCCAGTAAGCATCTCCATTCCTCCCCCCTCCCATACTGCCCACTATTCCCTCCCCCCTCCCACACTGCCCTCTATTCCCTCCCCCCTCCCACACTGCCCACTACTCCCTCCCCTTACCTCCTCTTACCTCCCTCCCTCCCTGTCTACCACCTCCATCCTCCCTCCCTCCCTCCCTGCCTACCACCTTCCTCCTCCTTTCTCCCTCCCTCCCTGTTTACCACCTCCTCCCTCCTGCCCACCACCTTCTGTCTATCACTTTTAACCATCTTTGTCCCTCCATCATTTCTTACCCCC